GGCTCTATCAGCCACACACTTTATGATCTATCTTCTCTACTGTGACAAATACCCAACCAAATATCACATGGGCCAGCAGTGGCCCTCCAGTGTCTCAGAAAACTCACAGGTGTTCACGCTGCATCAAAACCCTGTTTCTCTTTAATAAGCTGAATGTAAGGAGAGACAAGGCATTGTATTAAAAAGCTTCAAGTATTTGATTACTGCCCCCTCCCCCAAAAATACCAGGGATTTTGCTGACAAACCTTTAACAAATAAAATGCCACACTCATTGAAGTCGCACACAGCCTGGTATGGGATGAGGCCCTCTTTTGTCTGGAGGCACTTGACTGTGCTCTACTGCAGAGATTAACCATGCTGGGCTCAGGTCTTGAGCTAGCCTTATCCTTACTAATGCAGAGATGGCATAATGCAATCCTGTGTCCCAAGAGCTAATGCAATGCCCAGGGCATATGGAGAGCTAAAACCCCACAAGCTTGTAGCACAGACAAACTCTACACAGAGCTTCAGAACCCCACCATTCCCATACGACATCTGCCTGATCGACAACGAGACAAGATCCACTTGCATGGGGACAGACACTCAAGGACTGGTCAACTTTCTACAAGTTGCAGAATGAGACATCACCTCTAAGAGCCCTCAATGCCAAAATGAGAGGATGTTTTTTCCTCTGATACATCCATCAGTTTCTTTCATGAAAGAAATCCAAGGAAAGTTAACAGTAAGATGTAGCAGCCTGAGTGGAGACAGCCTATGTTCTGGCTAGGTTTCCATTGTTAGGGTAAACACCATGACCAAAAGCAACTTGGAGAGGAAAGGGTTTATCTGGCCCTAACATCACAGTCTATGATCAGGGGAAGCTCAGGTCAGGAACCTGGAGGCAGGAATTAATCATAGGTCATAAAAGAACACTGCTTACCGGCTTGTTCCCTTGGCTTATTCAACCTGTTTTCTTATACAACCTAAGACTACCTGCCCAGGGATAGCACTACTCACAATGGGATGAGCCCTCCTGCATCAATTCAGAGACTGCCCCACTGACTAGCCTGGAGGCCAATGTGATGACATTTTCTCAGCTAAGGGTCCCTCCTCCCAGAGGACCCTAACATATATCACATAGTTTTTAAGTGACATAAAAACCAGCAGTTTGCCGGGCAGTGGTGGCGCACGCCTTTAATCCCAGCACTTGGGAGGCAGAGGCAGGTGGATTTCTGAGTTCGAGGCCAGCCTGGTCTACAGAGTGAGTTCCAGGACAACCAGGGCTACACAGAGAAACCCTGTCTCAAAAAACAAAACAAAACAAACAAACAAACAAACAAAAAACCAGCAGTTTATCTTCCTTAAGTAGTAAAATGATAAATCTGGAAGAACGAGGTCAACCTACTCCATTTCCGAAAGCATCTAGTTACAGTCCTCATTGGAAACCTTCAAAGACTCACACGGCCTACTCAACATTACTCCCAAATTCCCTAATACTGTGTCAGCTTCTACAACTGGGGATTGACCCCACTACATCCTATACATCCTATCCTGACTCGCACTCTCTCCTCTGACTCCTGCCTGTGTTACTGCAGCCAGCTCTTTGTAGAGAAATCCAACTGAGCTTCCTTCTTCCTTCCTCAGCGTAGTACACACGTGTATCCTGTGGCTCTTTTACTGTCATAGCAGCTGTGATTATTAAAAAAAAAAAAAGATCGCCCCTGCTTTCCAACATCTCATATTTCATGGCTAGCCCTTTCAATATATACTATGTCATTTAACCTTTCCAGTCATCGCAAATTACGGGTCATTCCATTTTACTGAGGGGTGCTTAAAACTTGCCCAAGTCCAGGCTTCTTGCCCGCGCCTCTCCACAGCGCGTGCCTCAGGGAAGGTGACCAATGGCTGAAGCTCCATTAAAAATTGCCGGGTGAATGCGGAAAGAGGTTGAAATAAGGTGAGACCACACCGCAGGAGGGATTTAGACGAGTAGTTGGGATCAGATCCGAATCTAAGGACCCATGGGGGAGGGGGGGCTACGTCTAGAAGTCAGGAAGAACTGGTAGCTGTTCAGAGTGAAGTTTGTAATCCAACGAAGGAGAATTTTGTCAGCAGCAGTTGGCGGTCCCCGGCTGGAGGCCCGCAGAGTCTGCAGAGGCCAGGCCTCAGACCTGGAGGAGCCGAGCTCCTGTCCCCAGTGAGGAACCCTGGCCTCACCTCTCCGCCGCAACAGCAGTGCAGCCACCGCGCTGTCCACTCCGCCAGACAGGGCACACACGACGTGCCGCAGCGCCGACATCTGCGCACACTGTACTCCTACCAGCAGCTTTCCGGACCGGTCCACGCAATGTCGGAAGTCCCAGCCTCCGGGGGGCGTTCTCACTCTTCACCCGACCGGAAACATGCTCCGCTCACCCAGTGTTCTGCCGGCTTTCGGGTTCCGCGCGGCGGATTGGCTGAGAAGCACGTTGGCGGCGCGTCCCAGATAGGTCAGAGACGAATTGGGCAGGTTGGGTTTCCTAGCCACTAGCGTGCTGCTCTAGCGACTTTTCTTCCGTGCTTTTCAGCTGGTACTACTGAATCAGACGCACCAGGAACCTCGGCTCGAGCTTGAGGTCTCAAAGGCGTTCCTGGGCGCACAAGGGCGACGACACGGTGTTGTGTCTGCAGCTGGCAAATGTTTACCCGCAAGAGGGACAGGGCTGTCATCACGTTCTCATTGAATTCTAGGCAGACTAAATGTCCCCTTGGCGAGTCCTCTTGGTGCAAATGCCTGATGCTGCTGCGGGCCCGGCGGGTGCAGAGCTCAGTGGAGGACAAAGCAGAGTGGACTGCGGCTCGGTTAGCGCGTTGGAGTAGGCGATGGGAGCATAGTTACCAGGCCCAGTCAGTAAGCTGGGACAGATGAGGGACAGAAGGTTGGAAGTGTTTGGAGTCGCACCTGTTGTTCATCCCGGTGCCCGTGGCCATAGATATACGATGACTAAAGAGTGTGTGTTTGGAGGACGAACGAGCACTCTTTTGGAACCTCGGGCTGGAGCTGTGGCTCTTCCTGAATTCATTGTGGGAAGCCTGACACATGACATATGTGGCTGCTGGAAGAAGCTAGATACATGTCCTGGGCACAAAAGACTAAAACAAAAAACAAACAAACAAACAAACCCAAGTAGGAGGCCTGAGCACGTTGGCGGGCACATTGGCAGGCAAGAGGGCAGGGTGTCGTGTCTGTGGAGCCTTGAAGACCAGGACCTCCCTTCTTGGGTGTAGGCATTTAATATAGCAAATGTACAGATCAATTGAGAAAATACTTCCATTAGATTGGCCTTTAGGCAAGTCTGTGGGATTTGATTGATTTAAAGAGAGCCACACTAGTGCAGGTGATGTTGGGTTGTAAAAGAAGGCAAACTAATCAAGCCATGAGGAGCAAGCCAGTAAGCAGTGTCCCTCCGTGGCCTCTGCTCCTGTCAGATTCCTTCTCTAACTTTCCTTCAGGTTGGTTTATGATTCCGATCTGCAAACCACATAAATAAACCCTTTCCTCCCTGCACTGCTTCTGGTCAGTATTTTATTACACTAGAAAGCAAACTAGGACACTCCTTTTTCACGCACAAGGTGTTTTTGGCTTCCCTATAACTCCCAAAGTCTGCAGTGCGATCTATCATAGATAGCTGTAGTAAAGGCAACATGGAAAAGTGCTGTGTGGCAAACCCAAATGGCGTGTGGGTTTCAGAAACACTGCCCCCCATAAAGAGGTTAAAAAAAATTACAGGGAAGCAAGCCTCTGCCATCTAGGATGGTGGCGCTTCAGCCATGTATACTTCATGTCAGCTCCTCAGCTCAAGTCTCCAGTGTCACAAAGCTGACCCTTCTGAACAGCCAGCTTAGGAGCTGTGAAGAGGAAGAGGTTGGGGGAAGCTGCCTTTGAGCATCTTCAGAGGGGAAAGCAGACGAATTGCAGTGTATTATGCCAAACATCAGATGCCCTAGTAGACAGAGCAGAGTTTGGTTGCATGAGGGCAAGGCATGGGCTGAGCCAGAGCTAAGCACAGACACTGAGGGGACATCACCAAGGTAGTCTGGTTATTCATAGATTAATGTCCTCTCCCCACCAAACACACCAAGGAGGGATGCAGCAACTCCGTACCCCACTGTACCCTACGGGAAATGCAGCCCAGCCTAGCCCTAACTGCATGCCCAACTTGCTTAATGAGTTCAATCCCACATTTTCTTTTTCCCATGTGGAAGGAGTGAATGGTTCAGGGAAAGTGAGGGTTATTTACAGTGCTAATGCTCAGGATTCCAGGATTTACTGTCCCCTGGGGAAGAATCTGCTGCCATCCCTCCAGGGTTCACTGCAGCTCGGCAGACCTGGTGTAAGGTCTCTGCCCTACCCCCTCACTTTGTCACCTGCTGCCGCTAGGACCATACTCCAGCTGGCAGTTCTGGATTCATCACATTAACCAGAGAATGAGAAACCCATCCAGATCTCTGTCTCAACTGACTGAGTACCTCCAGATTGAAGCAGGGACACAAGTGGGGTCCACACAGTGCTTTCTGCTGTCATCCACAGGTTAGTGGCTTCCAGGAAGCTAGTCTTTAACAGATGAGGCTTCAAGCATGGTAGTAACTTCTCAGTGACCTTCCCTGTGTCCCACATCGCCTGGTTGTTGTGCCCTCAGAAGTGCCCTAGGCAGGAGAGCTGCAGGCTTAGCTGGACTCTCAGATTGAAGCAGATCCTCCCTCATATCCCAATTCCCTTTACTCTGCACTCTAGCTGCCCAGAGCAATCTGTGAGAGCTGTGGTCCTATCATATCAGAATTAGCTGTATTAACAATGCAGGTTATGCGGGCCCAGATGACAGACTGGTATACCTGGAGTGGGCTGGAGACTGATATCTATACCAATTTTATTTCCCTACAATATAAAAAACTAAGGTTGGACAATGAACGTCTTCCATAGTGTCTGGAGAGATGAAAACAGTTCTACACATCCAAACATCAAGTGTAAAAACCAAGCATGCTTTAACACACTTTATAATTTAATTTAAATCTAGAATATTTAAATTTCAAACAAATTTAAGTTTACAGTCATCTGCTATTTTACATACAAAAGAATCAAAACAAATTTTTTAGCGAGCTGTGTTTTAGCCTGGTGAAAGGCAGGGATCAGGACAGCCACAGAGGTCCAGAGTGGGGACCCCACCACTCAGACATAAGCAGTATAATGGGCTTCCCCCTATCAAATACAATTCCTTCTAATATCTGCTTCTACAGGTCTAAGGCCATAACAGAAGGAAACAGAATAAACAGCAAAGGGCCGTGTCCTGCTCAGAACTTGAGAAGTGGTGACTCCACATTTTCTTTGTCAGCCTCAGGGCTCAGATGGATCAGGGGGGAGCCCAGGTCGATCAGCTGGAAGAGAACGGAAAGATCAAGGTGAACACAGCTGTCTGTGCCGGCATACAACAAGAAGCTACAGTGACTGTGCCAATCCCACCTGGGGTCCAGGGACAGCAGCAGTGTGGCAAGGAGACTCAGTCATCATGTCTAAGACTCTTAGAAGAGAAACCTCAAACCCATCAACACTTTGTGACCTCCTGACACGGTGGGCAGGCAGGAGTGGTGCTGGGGATGACTGCTGACCTGAGAGCTCCTCCAGGTCCAGCAAGATACCACGGCAATGGGTGACCATGGAGAAGTCAAGCATGAGTCTGAGATAAACCCTGTGAGCCCCAAGGGCACCATGCAGTGCCCAGACCTGACAGTGCTTTGGGCTGAAGTCAGCATGAATCCCTTGCTGCTTCTCACCTGGCCGAGCTCAGCCTTTGGAGGCTTCCCCACATCATTTCTACCCATGTCTGGAGTGTTCATTATGAGGTCAATCAGGGGCCGGCTGCTAGGTCCCAAAGCCATGTTTGACTCAGGGGTGTTGCTGAAGTCAATGAGAGGGCAGTCAGCCAGGTCTCTGCCTCCTGCTTCAGGAGTGATGGTGAGCTGGTCCAGCTTGATGTCTAGAAGACCCTAAGCAGGGCACAGAGAGAAGGAAAGTCGGTACAAAGCAACCACCCTGGGAAGCCAGGCTTTGTCCAGGTTCACAGCCTGGAGTCCAAGGGAAAGGCTAGAGTGGGCCTGTACCCCTATTCACAGCTGATACAGAGCTTAGCCTGCTCCCATTCCTGTCCGCTAACCCCTGACCACCTCCTTTGCTAAACATTTCTTTAGTCCACAGTCCTGAGCACCTCTCTGAGCCTGCTGGAAACATGGGTCCCAGCCACAGGGTGAGGCAGAGAGGGAACTGTGAGTCCCTGTTCATGACTCTCCATGTACCTCAGATGGTGTGTAACTGCATCCATGTACCTCACTGGGGTGCATGTCTTCACGAAGCTCTGCTTCACCCTGAGCTGCTCCTGTGGAGGAGGCTTGGGAAGGAGGAAAGTCAATCTTCTCTGGAGAAAAGGTAAGTGCTTGAGGCACGGTGGATGGAGGGGAAGAGCTCTCATCTGAGGACAGGCCCTGGCCCTGTCCACCACTGCCATTGCTGGGGCTCTCCTGCGTCAGCTCCACTCTGGGGGGAAAAGGAGGAGGCACACTTATACACTCTTCTACACCAGTCATTGGCTACGGTGTGAAAGCAGCCTCTGACGCAGCAGCTGGCCACAAGTGACCTCGCCGGTCACTGATCTCTGTGCAAGAGAACTAAAGGTTTCCAAGGCCACTGTCACCTCTCCGGTTCTGTCATGTAGCCTCACCTTGTGTCCATGTCTGCCCTTTTCTTTACAGTTGCCAGGTCACTCAGCATCGGCTACACCTCTGCACACACGCTGTGTGTGGCTAGCTCCTCCAGACCTAGGTGAGCCAAGTGCCCGCCTGCCTAAGTGTCCTGCCCCACTGTTCCCTCAGGAGGCCAGGTTGGAACCCTAGTCATGCATGGCCTTCCACACTGCAGCATGTCTCACACTAGCAGTGACCTCTCGACACCTAGCATGTCCCCTGAGCACCCGTTGACTCAAAGCTGAATGAACTGTGGATACTGTGAGCTGCAACAATATCCACAATTAGAACAGAATACCAGCTTTTTCATGGTTTATGGGTTTCAGAACAACCTGAGTTCTTTCTGTATTACACTTAAAACACACATACACCATACATGTGACACAACAAACAGAGCCCCACCCTCCATCCCCAAACACACGCTCATGCCCACGCGCACGCGCACACACACACACACCCCTGCCTATTTGCAGGCTGAGCCTGGTGCTTCCTAAGCCTTCTTTCCTATTTCTCCTGTCTGCTGCCTGAGCCTTCCTGGCTCCCCTTTCCCTCCCAGCACAGGTCTGGGGAACGTTCAAGACAAGCTCATTCAGCCCTTGTTTTTACCTGACTGTAGATCTTCTCCTGGGCTCAGAAGAGAGTCGCCGGGCAGGCACACACAGTGGGGACACCAGAGCCCTGGGCATGGACTGAGGTGCCATTAATGGAAGGCCGGAGAGACGCCGACTGGCAGGTGTGGGCAATGCTGACATCCGTCTTGTGCTCAGAGGGGTCCTCACACTGCTGGGCAGGCCTTGTGGAGTGAGCCCTGATAAGCGTCTCACAGGAGTGCTGCTGACCACCCTGGTGAAGACATGGAGGTCTTGAATACAGACCACTGAAGTTGAAAGGGCAGCCAGGGAGCCTGGGTGGGCTCTGTTCTTGAGAAGGAGTTCCAGCATGGGCAGGACTCAAGGTGCTTGCAGTCCCCATGTAACCTTGGATGAATTTCTAGTTGCTCAGCAAGTGATGCCTCCATCCTGTCTCATAGGTATCTAGAACATCCTTGAACATGGCTATATTCATGGTACCCTCCACTAAAGGGTCAGAAGGGATTTAAAGAGATACTTATGACAGAAGAGTTTTTTCTACAAAGACATCTAGGCACCCATCAGACTCTGGCTAAGAAATGATGGTGGTTTTCCCAACTGGTTTACTCATACCCAGGTTTAAAATCCCTGAGTCAAAGGTGAGAACAGAGTCAGGAGCTGGGTGCTCCCTGGCAGTTCTGTGCCTTAACCACCGTCTCTCCCAAATGTTATGTTGTTGTTGTTCTTAAGGCAGAGGCTGAGTCGGGTCATCACCAGCTTTGGACTAAATGTTTGCATCTCCCAAATTCATATATTGAAAGCCTAATTCCCAAAATGATGACATAGGAGATGGGGCCTCTGGAGGTGATTCTGTCAGAAGTCAAAGCCCCAATCGATAGGCATAGCATCATTATAAAGAAAGAAGGCTCAGACACCGTGTTTGTCCTTCCATGTGAAGATGTGAGCCAAGCAATGGACCCACATCAGACACTCCCATGTATAGATGCCCTGATCCTGGATGCCCAGCCCCCAGAACTGTCATACCCCAATTTGAATCTCCAGATGCCCAGCATTGTGGCTCAAGTCAATAATAACAGCAAGGAAAGGGGCAGGAAGACTGAGTGTGAGGTTAGTCAGTCCACAAAGAAAGACCCAGGCATAGGCATGCTTGTTACAGTAGCCCAGAGTACTGGGACAGTGCAGGGAAACAACTCTCGGTCACACACTAACCCTGAGTCCTGGCAGGCTTAGAAGTCACCTTCCAACTTTACCACCCTCTAAGACAACCTCCGTGTCCTTCAGAGTTTGGAAACGAACTTTATAAATACCATGGGCTGAGCGACGGCTGCTTACTCACTCAGAGCACATCCAGGCACTGGGGTGCTCTCAGAGCACATCCAGGCACTGGGGTGCTCTCAGATCAAGCTTCTACCTGCTGCCAAGGGCCAGGCCCACTGCCCGACCACCTTCTACTGTGGACACTGCTGGCTCTGCCACAAGCTCCAGTGAAGACAAACATGCCCACAAATGTGACCCTTGATGGGACCCAGAAGACAGGAGTTATTTTTCACTTTCCAGGCAGCTGAGACATGGGGGTTAGATAGTATTCTAGTTTGTTTTCTGTCACTGTGATAAACACCAGGACCAAGGCACCTTGGGGAGTTTATTTGGCTTACACTTCTACATCATAGTTCATCACTGAGGGAAGGTGCTATCTTGCACTGGAGTTGGTTTTGTTACACTGCATGGGAGGAAGGCACCACAGCATGGCTACAGCTTTAAGGGAAAGTCTTGAAAACCCCAGCCCTGCTGATGCCCTCAGTTGGACTGTGTCAGAACCAGTGGTGTAAAGGATGTAACTAAAGGGGCAGCAGGGACAAGGCTGTCATTTCAGGAGTCCCTGTAGGTCCCCAGGCATCTGCGCATGTGTGGACTTGCTCTCACTGTTATAACTGCTGTGCTGGGCCATTCAGGGCATTTAGACTCATACTGGGTCACAGAGCAGGACTGGAACCCAAGTCTGAGCAGCTGCTTCATCCCATGGTCCCTAACTGTGCACAAACCAGTGACCAGGGAACTTCTGAAACACGTGGATGCTGGGCTCTGCCCCCTGTCCCCAACCCCCACCCCCACCCACTGAATCAGAAACTTTGGGGGGTGGTCTAGGCTCAGCATCTAAAGCAGTACTGAAGAGGATCCTGTGATTTGGCCTGGGTTCACCCAGCTCAGTCACAGCATCCAGCACACAGTAAGTGTAACACACAGCCTCTACCTCAGAAGCTTGACCTGCAGCCCAGGTGGCAGTCCATGGAGCCTATAGTCACATCAGCAGCTCTCAAAAGGTAAGAAAGGAGGCAAATTCCTGTTGGCTACCTGCTAGCTGGTGTCCTGGACTGCAGCCGATGTGTCCGTGAGAACTTCGGGGTAACTCCATCAGGTGACTCGCCTAAGAACAGGGAGGGCCAATCAGAAGAGAGGACCATGGCAAGCCTGGCACGTGCAGCACCATCCAGGCACTCTCCTCTGGACATCCCCACTTTCCCAACTATCCCAGTCAAGTAAAGACAGAGGCCAGTGAGACACACAGGAAACCCTCTTGAGACGCCAACTGAGGCCAGGTCCAGGTTTGGTACTGAGAACACTCTGTACTGTTTCCCCAACTGGCCAGGGCCTAAGTTTCATGGCAGGCTCATCCCAAGTCTCCTCTACCTGTCAGGCTGCTCCCTGTGCCCCCATGTCCATAGGAATCAAGTGGACAGAGCCCCAGCAAGCAGCAAAGCCTACTGTATCTTCCTGTCTCTGAGAGGTGGCATCCCTAGCTCTGAGGCACACCACATACACATTCTATAGGTGACAAGTATCTCCATGTGGATGCCTCAGCTGCTAGTTGACAGTCAGAATTCAGTGTGGGCTCACCAGCCACTAAGCAAAGCCCAGCATAACCGAGATGGCCTGTCACACACTGTCCCTCCACTCCATGATTCCATATGAAACACAAATTTGCCTCCCATTATCCTGAGAGTCAATCTGGGACCCCAAAGCTTTGGGAGCCAGGACCTCCATGTATTAACTTGCTGTCTTAGAAGGCCTGGGCAAAGTGGCCCCAGCCATGAAAGGGGCCCATCTTAGCAAGCCATTCAAGGCCAGGTGAAGCTCCAAAACAATACCACCGACCACACATTTTCTTAATTAGTGATTGATGAGGGAGGGCCCAGCCTATCATGGGTGGTGCCATTCCTGGGCTGAGTAAGGCATGAGGAGTGAAGAAAGCAGCACCCTCCGCGACCTCTGTATCAGCTCCTGCCTCCAGGTTCCTGTTTGGATCCTGCCCTCACTGCCTTTGATGAACTGTTATTTGGAACTGTGAGTGAAAAATACCCTTTCTTCCCCAACTTGCTTTGGTCACAGTGCTTCATCTCAGCAATAATAACCCTAAGACGAGCTCCAGCCTAGGCAGTCCTGCTGGCCTCAGCAGATGCACACAGCAGGGCCATGGTGTCCCCAGGTCCTCTTATTTAGACTTTGACATGGGAAGGAAATCAACATCCATTTTTTTTTTTTTAATAACACCAGGCTGTGCGTCTTGCAGTAGCATCTATTCCACCTGCACTCCTGCCACTGTCTTCCCGTTCCTCCAGGAACTAAAGTCAAGAGCATGTCCACCACAGGACCTTTACAGCACCATCACCTCTGCCTGAATGTTCTCTTTGGGTATCTAATGGCTGCCTCTTCACTGGGCTTCTGATCTCAGCCAAGCATTGTTCCACTCCATCTGTGACTGCTAACCTAGTTGTCAGCTTGACACATGGGTAAGGGAACCTCACCTGAGGAATAGCCTCCATCAGACTGGCATTTTCTCCATTGCTAATTTATGTAGGTAAGGGCCCAGCCCACCGTGAGTGGTACCATCCTTGGGCATTCCTCCGTGGTCTTTGCTTGAGTTCCTGCCCTGACTTCCCTCAGTGATGAACCACGATGTGGAAGTGTAAGCCAAACAAACTCCTCAAGGTGCCTTGGTCCTGGTGTTTATCACGGTGACAGAAAGCAAACTAGAATACTGTCTGACCTCTTCCCCAGAGAGCTGGAGAGAAGCCACACAGAGAGGAAAAACTCTAGAAAACTCTGTGACATCTCCTGAAAGGGCAGCTGCACAGCGGCAGCACAGTGTCAGGCAAGATGCCTCAGGGTCAGGACAAGCAACAAGTGGCGAACAAGCACTGAGGAACAGCACATCACACCCAGCCTGAGTGGACGGAGCAAACTAATAGGACACCTAGCAGCCTCTGTGCAAAACCCCACGCCTGCGACAGACTAAACAGCACCCATTCTAGACCCATCTGTGGCAGGCTGCAGGAGTGGAGCAGGCTGGACTACATTCATTGGCTGCCAAGTTCAGCCCCTTAAGGAAAACGTGACTCAGGTGGTTAAAAACAGAATCACAGAAGCAGAATCACCAACATCACCAACAACAAAGCTCTAACCACCTATGTGTGACAAAAGCCACAGTTGCAGACATAACGACCACACTGAGGACAACAGTGAGAAAGACACGCAGGCCAGGGGCAAGGGCTCATCCAGAGGAACGGACCCTGGACAGAGTGTCAGAGCTAAAGAAGCCAAACAGCACCAGCCACACCAGTAACCTCCCCAAAAACGTAAAGCCCACAGTATAGCTGTACTTACCAACAGAACACTGGGGCACTTTAAATGGGTTTGCTGTGGTAGACACGGCCTCTGTCTTGCAGCTCAGATAGGAGTCCGGTCGTTTAATGCTGACAGTTTTATTCAACTGAGATGTCTCAGTGTCGGAGTCCAGCCTTGGTCCTCTTTGCTCTGGAGTCTGGGGTTGTTGGGTAAGAGGACTCGGGGTGGGGACCTTGGGCTGCTCAGCCACCGTCTGGGCAGTGTCAGCCCTTTTGGCTTGTCTGCAAAATGCTCTGGCAGGGGCTGCTGGCAAAGCCTGGTGTGACGTGGCGGGTCCTATTCTGCCCAACTTGCTGGTGCCTGACCGACGCTGGGAGCTGCTAGCAGGAATACTTGAAAGTTCACTGGACTTTGCTGCAAAAGTCAATAATCAAGGCTGGTTACTCAAGTCAGTTTCTAAACACTTTAAACATACATACATACATACACACACACACACACACACACACACACACACACACCCCTCTAGACTGTCTACCTAACACCAGACACACTGGACACCCTTTAGGTAATGACAGTCAGGACCGGCGGGATGCCGGAACCTGAGCTGAGTACCGGCCACCTCTCAGCAGTGTGTGTGCATTCACAAGGTTAAACTCTTCTTTCTTCACTTCCTTGATGAGCAAAAGAAAGTGGACAGTCCAGTCAACTAGCAATGGACCTACTGTTTGAGTGCACAGTGAAGACTCAAAGGGAAATTTTAGGGAATAATGCTGTAGCCATACCTATGCAGTATGTTAGACCTACTAGGTCCTGCTCCACAATCTCATCTGACCCTATGGCTCTACCATAAACAACACATGGTGCCAGTGTCCTGAGTCAGTGGAGAAAGACCCAGCTCACAACTCCTGGGCAGTGGCAGCCATGCGTTCTCCTGATCATGTACTCCCGGGCCACAGAAGGGCCTTTGAGCACGTCTAGACTCGGGAACTTTCCCCCAGGTCAACAGGATCACTTGACTTAAAGGTAAGAGAAAGGTAAGAGCACAGATGGCTGTTAAACCCCGAGCAGCAGTCAGGACTCCAGATCAGGCTGATTCTAGAGCTCAGACTTCTGATATCTTGTGAAAAGCCCTCTCACCATGTGCCAACGGACATAACTAGAATCCAAGGCAAACCTAAGATGCATCTCTGGTCCCTACGGCACTCCATCACTAGATGGCAGCCTTGTTGAGGCAAGCTGAACACAGGGCACATGCCCCAAATGACCCAGGCTGGGCTCACTGGTCTTAGGCACTGACTTCTCACAGATGCATGGCTAGTGTGAACAACCATGCTTTCTTGTCACTTCATGAGTTTGTATGCCTCCAGCTGAGATCACCTCTCCTTACTGGAGGGAAGTAGATACTCAGGGCAGAAGGACAACGAGTCTTTTCCTGCCTAGCCCTCAGCCCTGAGCTGTAACTCTACAGCATCCTGTAGAGACAAAACATATGGTGGTCAGGGCTCGCCTGGCTGCTGGAACAGCTCACCTTTGCCTGCTACTGAAGACCCACATACACCAGACCCGAGGCCTGAAGCAGACCCTGAGGTAGACGACTTCCTTGTGAGATTGCCAGTGTAGCCAGGTGGCTTTAACAGAGTCTTCTTCGGCCCCAACTGAGAGAAAAGTTGAAAAATTAGCCAGAATTTTGATACATACATACTCATACTTAATTCTGCAAAAGTAGGATTTTAAGATAATCTTATGTGGAATTAGAGAGATGGCTCAGGAGGTAATAGCACTTGTTATTGCTCCACTTGCAGAGGACCTGGATTCAATTCTTAGCACACACATGACGGCATACAACCATCTATAACTCCAGCTTCAGAGAGTCTACACTTGCTCCTGACCTCTTTGGGTACCAGGAACATACATGGTATATAGACATCCAGACAAGCATTCTTGCACATAAAATAAAATTTAAAAATCTTTAAAAGATAATCTTCAACAATTATCATCTTTATAGTAAAAAGTAATAGTCATCCTTCAGTTTCTGTGGGATCCTGTGGATACAAAACCAAATGGATCCCCTAAATGCAATAGTGTGATAAATGCACGGAACCTACACACATCCACCATGGTCCAATTACCTCTAGATGCCAGGTGGTGGTGGCGCATGCCTTTAATTCCAGCACTTGGGAGGCCTGGAGGCAGGTAGAGCTCCGTTCAAGGCCTGTCTGGTCTACATAGTTCCAAGACAGCCAAGGCTACATAAAGTCACCCTGTCTGGAAAAACCAAATAAATGAATAAATAAACAAGCAAAAAAAAAAAAAAAAAGCCAAACACCCTCTAGGTGATTCTGACTTTAATGCAATGTTAAGACTGTGCAAGCCATCATGCTCAGTCAGGCACACTGACAAGGAAAAGTGATACAGGTTCAGGACAGAGACAACTTCTCTTTTTTTTTTTTTTTTTTAAATTTTTATTTATTTATTATATGTAAGTACACTGTAGCTGTCTTCAGACACCCCACAAGAGGGCATCAGATATCATTGCAGATGGTTGTTAGCCACCATGTGGTTGCTGGGATTTGAACTCGTGACCTCTGGAAGTACAGTCAGTGCTCTTAACCACTGAGCCATCTCACCAGCCCCCGACAACTTCTCTTTTTAAATAGCTTCAATCTGGAGGCCTGACTGCATCTAGAATGTAATGTCCAAACCTCTGCCAGAGGAACATGCAGAAGAACTAGCAGCAATTAAGACTGTGGGGTTCCAACCTAGACCTCAAATCAGCTACTGCAGGCCCAGCTTTTGGCAACTTTAATAAATGCTTTCTTTTTTCTTTTTTTTTTTAAAAGATTTATTTATTTATTTATTTTATGTATTCACCATTGTTCTCTTCAGACACACCAGAAGAGGGCATCAGATCCCATTAAAGATGGTTGTGAGCCATGTGGTTGCTGGGACTTGAACTCAGGACCTCTGGAAAAGCAGTCAGTGCTCTTAACTGCTGAGCCATCTCTCCAGCCCTAATAAATGCTTTCTAATCGGTAGTTCAGAGTACTAGAAAGGTGATGGTCTCTGTCTGTGAGCTCAGAACACAAAACTCAGGACCTCACATCTTCCACAGAGGCCAAGGGATCAGTGAGAATCAGTTGCTGGGAACCAAGTGCTACTAGGCTCTTATCAACAGCCCAAGTGACAGGGCCAGTTCAGTGCACACGGCCAGGCCTATCTTCTCTGCAACCTAGTTGCCTCTTGTGGGCTGTTTCCAATGTTCCTTAATTGCTGTGCGTGTGCATGCATACACATGTGTGCATGCACATGAGGACTAGAGGACAAGCGCAGATAACTGTCCACTCTTATTTAGTTTTAAAGACAGGGTCTGTGGCTGGCCTGGCACTCAGTGACTTGGCTAAGCTGGCTAACCAGCAAGCTACCCCAGGGATCCAAGTGTCTTCTGCCACCCCAGTGCTGAGATTACATGGGCACCCCACCACACAAGGCTTCTTAAATGTGAGTCCTAGGGTCTAACTTATGTCCATCCACTTATTAAATAAACAACCTCCTTGACAACCTCATTGTAATCAAGATATAAAACTGGCACCACGTCCCCATAGAACAAGGGGCAGGCCTGTAGCCCCAGCCAACTCACCTTGCCAGGAATGGGGAGTGACCGCTTGCCTGGGCGGCCTTCTCTACTGGCAGCTTCAGGAGCCGTGCTGGGCTTGTCCAGGGGCACATCACTCTGCGATCCCTTCTCATTCAGGAGTTTCGCCCTCTGAAGGCTGGCTGGCACCTCCTTTTTGGGCTGAAAATGTTGATTTGACAGGTGAAGACTACCTGGTCTGACAAGCCCAGAGCTGGCACCCTCCTCACTGAAGCAGTGTCAGACTGGCAGGCAGCCTGCAGAAGGATCACCAAGGCTTCTCCTCTCTCAGGCCCTCACTTAAGAGTGCCAGTAAGGGGACCAGACATATGGTATATGCCTTTAACTCCAGCACTTGGAGGCTAAGGCAGGCAGATTTCTGTGAGTTCAACGAGGCCAGCCTGGTCTACATAGTGGTTCCATAGCAGCCAGTTACATAGTAAAACCATGTCTTAAAAACAAACAAACAAACAAACAAACAAACAAACAAGAGCCTCAGTAAGGAGCTGGCTCAGCCATGCGTTCTACATGCTGTAGGGAAAGGCGTGCTTACTGCATGGGAACCCTACCACAGCACTGGCTCAGTGCAGTGAGGCTTCTCCTCTGAGTGCTGAGAGCCACATCCCTGCTGGGCAGTGCTGGTGCACACCTTTAATTCCACCACTTGAGATGCAGAGGCAGGTGGCTCTCCAAGCTTGAGGCCTGCTTGGTCTACAGAATGAGTTAGGCCCACACAGAGAAAGCCTGTTACTTTTCAAAACACAACTCCTCCACCCCCAACAAAACAAACGAACAAACAAAAAACCCTATACTCTCTGGCCTGCAAGTCACAGAGCCAACCCCTGACATATTCAGAGACAAGGGCATGAGGGAACTGTGCCATATGCACACACGTAGCAAGGATGTCAGGAAGGTACAAGCAGTAGCTTCGGGGTGAATACAACCCCAATGCTTCCCTTGTAGCACTTCCTGTGACACGAAGCTCACCTCCTCAAAGACATACTCAGTGATGTTGGAATTCTTTTACTATCCCATTACTTGATGTGTCCCTGTTTTATCTATCTGTTTATTGTTAAAGGGTATCTGGGTGGCTCAATTTGTTGGCAATTCTGAATGCTGCTGCCGTGGAAACCCTGTGTGAGGCTGACTGATGACACTACAATCCTGCCTGGTACCCTGCCTGTGATGTGACCCTAGCCCTGCCTCATAGGCCATGCATGGATCACACACAAATTCTGTTCCATGTCCACATGCTACTAGCAATCCCACCCAGGGCATCCTGGTGTCAGCTGTGGTCAGGCTCACAGATGTGCAGGGTTCCACCCTCCCACACCCTCACAGAGCCGTCCCTTTAACTGCAACCCTTGGCACAAATGAAGCTGCTGCAGGACAGCTTCACCCTACACCCCGGCACGCACCTTAACTCTGTGTATCTTCTCAGGAGCCCCCTCTCCTCAGCAAGAAAAAAGCAGGCAAACCTGGAAGCAAGCTGTCTCTGACATCCAGCTCTCTGCCTACCCCCAACGAAGCCTCCAGAGCCCTGAGTTTCCCACAAACTGGTCGACTACCACTTCCCTGGCATTCACGTAATGCCTGGGCAGAAAGAAGTATAAAGTCCCAGCCATAGAGAACATGCAGAGCCCAACTTGGGGGGCGGTGCTCCCCATCACTGTTGCCTTCACTGTCCAGATCCTGGTTCTACTTCTGAGGTTTCCAGTCCTTAGAGTGCTGTCCCTCCCACAAGGCTCCCCTGGCATGGGCTGAGGTAAGACAAGGAGGCTGCACCATAGCAGCTGTGCTATGTGCGGGTTTACCTTCTCTGTAGCCAGGTGAAAAGTTCTTCCTCTCACAGGTAAAGCTCGAGGTGGCTGTAGCTTGCTGGTGATCCTCCTCTGAGGTCCAGGCTGACTTGGAGGCTGGGAGGTACTTGATTCTCTTGGCAATGGCTGAGAGGAACAGGGCAGACCCTGGTTGCTCTGGGTCTGAACAGGACCTGCTGGGGCAGGGGAGCTGAGCAGGCCTGGAGAAGCCAGGAGCTGGGGCTCCCCCAAGAGAGGTTGCGCTCTCGAGGACGGCAGGCAGAATGTCTCTCTTTTAAGTGACACGGGACTTTTGTCTCTCTCCTGTTCTTTCTCAAAGAGGCTTATTTTTAACTGTGAGTCCTGCACAAAAGTTTCCTTGCCCTGGTTGACAGGATGTTTGGGCTTGGAAGCCTGGGCCACCTCTCTTCGGCTGTGACTTTCTATCTGTAAGGCCAGTAAGTGGGCTTCTTTGTACACCTCTACAAACTTCTCCCCCGTGAGAGGGCTCCAGGTGCAAGGGCTGCCAGAGCCTGGGACAAGAGGCTGCTCAGGAGCCTGGCGGTTTAAGTCCAAACAGGCAGCAATGCATCTTTCCTTATGTCCAACAGGCCCAAAAAATACTTCGTCATCTTCATTTGCGCTGCGTTTAAAGAAAAAGATTATCAGGGATGAGTCACACTGGCATCCAGGTGAGGGGCTTTAATGCATGTGTCTATGCCACGGGAAGGGAAGAAAACTCACGTTTACCTTGAAGAAGACAAGGAAAGATCGAAGTCAAATTTTTCATCTTCCAAAAGAATAAAGTCTGGGGTGGGGATGGGGGAGAAAAAGTCCACTATTATTTTAGGGTAGCATAAAACAGGAAAGCACCGGTTTCACAACTGCTATGAAATCCCACTCTCGGTAAAATAATAGATTATTGCCTAAATTCAATCAATTTTCATGCGTAACTCAAGTCCTCAAATTCCATTCTGAGCAGGCCGATTCACCGTCAAAGCACAGAGCCTTACTGCGCCGATTCACCGTCAAAGCACAGAGCTTTGCTTCTGTGATAGAATCTAAGGTTTCTGAGAGGGCTAAGTCACCTTCAGGCACAGGATATTTTCTAAAGACCAACTACTTAAGCTCACCTGGAATTAAATTATTAGACATCTGTCTATCCATCAACGATGAATTGAAAGGTGGTTCAGACTCACACTTTTTTTTTTTTTCAGACTCACTTATTTAAAGAGATTAAATAAGTATCTGTGGACCACCACTGCTCCTCGGATCCCTTTCCAGTTCTCCCAAAAAAAAACCAAAACAAGAAAAGCAAAAAACAAAAATTTTGCGCTATGCCCATCCATATTCCTAGCATAGCCTTGGATGACACAACGTGGATTTGTTCAACTCTGTCTAACAGACCAACAACTTCCCAGTAATATTCAAGGTCCACTTCACTGAAGGGAACCTAGGTTTGGTACTCAGGACAAAAACCTGTGGCTGACCAAGGTCATAGACTCCAGTGAGGATGCATATTACATCCTGGGAAGTTGCCTTCTATCTTTTTGTTGTTGTTGTTGCTGTTGTTGCTGTTTTACGAGACAAGGTTTCTCTGTATAGCTCTGGCTGTTCTGGAACTAACACTGTACACCAGACTGGCCATCGAACTCAGAAATACGCCTCCCAAGGGCTGGGATTAAAGGAGTGTACCACCACTGCCCAGCTGGTAAGTTGTTAAACGTTTCTGTTTACACTCATAAATTACTGTGCTGCCAGTCTTGGTCAGAGGAGCCTCTTATACTGGGCATCACTGTGCTAAGCAGTCTCATAAGGCGTCAAAAGAGGAAACAAAACCTGATAGGGTACAAAGGCCCAGTGCTCAGCCCTAAAAGGGACAAAAAAAATTGTAAACCCACATCAACCCTCGACAACTCAGGAAGCAAAGTTATTTTTCACCATGTCTGATGACTTGAGTTCAAGTCCTGGGACCCACAGGTGCTTGTGCACCATGGTTACCCCCAATTCCCCAACCCCCCACACACCCAAAACAAGTTAGCTTAAAGAATCCTCCTCCCCTCTCCTAGACAGGGTTTCACTGTGTAGGGTTACAAAGAGACCTGTCCTGGAATTCACTCTGTAGACCAGGCTAGCCGTCAAATAAAACTCAAGAGATCTGCCTGCCTCTGCAGTTCTCTGTACCACCACCACCTAGAAAGGATTGCTTTTGAAAGAATTTGCCAGCACTCAGGAGGCTTTTCTGTGAGTTCAAGGACAGCCAGGTTTACAAAGTGAGGTCTCAAAAAGCAAGCAAGCAACCAAGCAAGCAAGAAAAAGCAAACCAAGGAAGGAAGGGGAGGAGAAAAGAAAGCCTGAGGAAGGGGTGAAGTGTGGGACTCTGCCCTTAGTG